TTTCCCCTCAGCTCTTCCTTGTGTTTTGCTTGGGAAGGACTGGGGTTGGAGTAGAGAAGGGCTATGAGTTGATTCCTAAGAGTTTATACTTGTGTATTGCTCCTGACCAGCTGTGCTGGCTTTCCTCACTCAGAGGAGAGCCAAGAAAGCTTGCTTTGTTTTTTCGAGAGTTTTGAAATCAAAGGTGTGTGTCTCAAGTGTGTTTTCAGGCCTTCCTGTTAAGTTTAATCATAGAAGACATGCAAAAAAAAAAAAAAAGGCTTGCTGAAACCCATTTTTGTAGCAGTGGGAGATCTAAGTTATGCAAAATAGAAAATGGATACTTTTCAAACCACTTGATTCCAGCTTGTTCTTCCTTGCACGCTGTAGCAGATCCATTTGAGGTGCCCATTAGATTTGTCCGCACAGCGGCTTGGGCACAATGGCATAGTGAGAACACAAGTTAGGAGGCCTACCGCCTGTAGCGCTGATGAAATAAATGCATGCAATATTCACTTTTAAGATAGCGGATGCAAAGTTGTGTACACCATGACCAAGCGTGAACACCTGCCTGTCACAGTGCCTTTTAAAAGACAGTGTAGGCCAATGAAAGGAGTGAATCTGCCCTCCAGTCAGTCTGTTTGCAATCCCAGGGAGACTTTGAACTTGAATTCAAAGACTCCTCTTGCACTTTGGTCTGCTTTGCCCCTGCCACTCACTTGTACCTATGGGATGGCCAAGGCATACAGTTTTTCTGCTCCAGCTTCTTTTTCTAAGAAGCCAAGTGATTGCCTTGCTTACTCTTTTTTAAAACATTTTTTCCTTTAAGTGGGTTTTTTTTTTTTTTTTTTTTGGTGAGGAAGATTGGCCTTGAGCTAACATCTGTGCCAATATTCCTCTACCCTATATATGGGACACCGCCACAGCATGGCTTAACAAGCAGTGTGTAGGTTCACGCCTGGGATCCAAACCTGGGAACCCCAGGCCACCAAAGCAGAGCGCACCAACTTAACCACTACACCACTCGGCTGGCCCTACTTACTCTTGTAGTCGAATAGCTTCAGGAAGATAAAGTTGTTCAAAAATAACTTATTAAATGCCCGGCACACAGCAAATAGAAGGCGATGACAAAATTCAGTCAATAAGCCTGGAAGAGGGAACCTCTGCAAGCCATCTTACCTGCTCTCTGTGGCAGAGAATAATTCACATTAGAACTTTGAGACGTTTTCAAATGGCAAAGGAAAAATCTTCTGTTTTTAAGATCGCTGCTTCATAACAAAGCAAAGTTCAGCTGTCACTTCTTCCCCCTTAGCCTCTAGTACATTCTCTTCCCTAAGGATTCTTTACAGGTTTGGGATCGAAATGCCAAGCCCGTGGTTTTTTGTCCTTTAGTTGCAAGTCAAAGATTGTGCAGGCTGTGACATGAGCTCAGGGCTCTGCATGCTTTCTCCCCAGTCCGTCAGGTCCCAAACCAGATCCTTCTCATCAGTGTGACTGTAAGTAGATCCCCTCCCAAAATGGCAGTGCCTCTAAAACTTCTCAGATTCATTTCTTTCCTGAGGATGAAATTTTAAGCCTCACTGGCCAGGATCACAGTGTTTTAAGAAGTCCTTTTCTGGGGACCGCCCAGTGGCACAGTGGTTAAGTTTGCACGTTCCACTTCGGCGGCCCGGGGTTCGCCAGTTCGGATCCCAGGTGCGGACATGGCACCGCTTGGCACGCCATGCTGTGGTAGGCGTCCCACATATAAAGTAGAGGAAGATGGGGACTGATGTTAGCTCAGGGCCAGTCTTCCTCAGCTAAAAAAGAAAAAGGATTGGCAGCAGTTAGCTCAGGGCTAATCTTCCTCAAAAAAAAGAAAAAGCCCTTTTCTAAAACCCATCTGTCAGGTGTGCTGGATGAGAGCTATGAAACCCCAACAAGTCATCAAATGCTCTTTATCATGTAAACCCGGGGAGGGGGCAGATGCCAACAGGGTATCCTCTCCTCCAACCACTTCCCGTTAATGACATGCCACTCAGGTCCTGAGGGAGAGAGAGGTTTTCCCCATCCTGAGAAGCATCCTAGGGATTTACAGACGTAAACTAGCCTTCAGAGGGTCTCTTGCTTCCTGCCTTTCCTGAACCTCACATCCCCTCCAGCTAGTGGTCAATCTCTGTCTTCCCCAGGTTTGTTCATTCCACAAGCGTTTGTTGAGTGCCTGTTATGTGCCAGGCACTGTTCTGGGCAGTGGGGATAAAAAAGCAAGACAGAGAGGGTCCCAGTGCTCAACAACTGACAATCCAGTGGGGGACGATAAAAATAAAACTCATGAAGTGATAAAATAAAACAGCAGAGTTAGTTGTTATGATAGTGAAGGGCTGGAGAGGGTATTTGGTGAGATATTTGGATAAAGTCTCTCTGGGGAAGACATCTCAGCTGAGATCTGAATGGCAAGAAGGAAACCTGCCAGGCAGAGATCTAAGGTACAAGCATTCCAGGCAGAGTGAACAGCAAGTGCGAAGGCCCTGAAGTGGGAGCAAGCTTAGTGTATTCAAGGAACAGAAAGAAGGCAGCGTGGCTGCAGCATAAGCGAGTTGCACGGGCTCTGGGTTCTGGACGCTGTAGATACTGGTTTGGTGACTACGTATTAGATGAGATCTGGGCTCCTTAGAGCTCACAGCTTAAGCAGGGCATACCAGACCTGGGTTCACCCATACCCATCGCCGTGTTAATTACTGTTATTTACCCTCTAAGTACTCTGTCCTTTTTACTTTCAGCAAACAAGAGTTTTCACTCCCTACATTAATTAGGACTCTCTTATGGCAGAAATCCAGCCCTAACTGGTACAACCGAAAAAGGGAGTTGATTCTCTCTCGTAACCTTAAATCAGGTACAACTGGATCCAGCTGTTGAAACGATAGCGTCAGGACCCGGTCTCTCCACCTCTTGGCCCTGCTCTCCTCTGTTGTGGTTTCTTTCTCAGGCGGGCTCCTCCCTTGTGATGGCAAGATGACCCCTGGCAGCTCCAGGCTTACCTCCACCACCCTGAGAACGCTGGTGGAAAGAGTTCCCTTTGTTTACCAGCTTTATACAGATGTAATTGACATAGGCCATTGTGTAAGTTTTAGGTGTACCACATGATGGTTTGATACACGTATGTGTTGCAAAATGATTTCCACATTAAAGTTAGTTAACACTTCCAGAGAGTTTCTGTCTTGATAGCTCTGCAAGAGACCTGGGCCTGGACACTCAGTGGCTCAGCTTGGGTTAGGCCCACCCCTGTCATTGGCTCAGTTGGGTTAGGTTGGCCCCTGAACCAGTCATTGGCTCAGTTGGGTTAGGCTGATCCCTTGTCATTGGCTCAGTTGTGTTAGGCCCACCCTTGAGCCAGTTACTGATACTGGAGGCATGAGTAGTCACGTGCCTTTTCCCAGGCATGGAAGATGACATCAAGTCCGTCTGAATCACGTGGAATGAGTGTAGGATAAGTTCTCCCAAGGGAGTATTGAGGTGCTGATGCAGAAAGATGGAGGAAGGAACGCTGAACTGGAAAAAAAAACCCCAGCAGCTTTCTACTCCCTCTAGCTTCTCTGCTTTGATCAAACTTTCAGAGAAACGTGGTTCTCCAGAAAGGGGTGGGTAGATGGGGACGTGGCCTGTTTTCTCTGAATTAGGGAAGGGAGAGAAATTAGGAGGAGGAGAAGATGTGAATACAGGTACTGACAAATGTAGAATTGTCAGTAAGTGCGATGCTCGAATATAGGTATAATTGTTCAATTTCTCCCAGGGGGTCCAGAAGTTGGTGATCGTGTCCGTGTCAACACTAACGTATTTAGCTGAATGATTTGTGTTTTTAGCCAAAAACACGGCACGTTGGTTGTGAGGGGCAAAGTGAGGGGTTGCATTCATTCTTTTGTCCCCAAGGGCACACACCAGACTGTGAGCTCCCTTGAGAGAAGGGAGGGGACCTTGGAAACAGCTCATTTGGATTCCTAATGGCCTTTTGACAAGCTCGAGCCTTAAATAAATGCAGAAAATAAGCTGTTACATCAAGAGGCTCTCTCAGTAGGGAGTCTGTCAACTGACACCTGTTAATAGAAACTTGTTGCCGAGCCTCTGCTCTGGATGTCTCCGAGTCCTCAGAATCGAGGCCCTTGTCACTCTCTCCCTTCTAGTGACTGTCTCTGCTTCTCACACCCAGTTCTCCAAAATTGCGTCCACTTCCTTTTCCTCGCCTCCCAGTTACTCCTTCACCCAGTGTCTTCCTCCTCCCTCCTCCACGGTGTTGAAACTCTTGCTCACATCCCCAGTGACCGACATCTCGCCAAGCCTCGTGGATATTTTCCAGTCTTGATCTCACCAGCTTCTCTGTTGCAGCGTGGAGACTGTGGAACATTCTCTTTTCCCTTGAGACCATCCATCCCCGGGACAGCTCACTCCTCCTCGTTCTCCTCTCCGTCTCCTTCGATGACTGTTTCTTTCTTTGCCCGCCTTTCAAACACAGGCATTCCTCAGAGTTCCAGAAATAGCCCTCATTCAATTCTCCAGTGGTTCTGTCCCAAGAAAAAGGAAAGAACCAGCTACAAACCCCTGACTCTTACATTTGTATCATCAGCCCAGATTTCCCCCCTGAGTTTCAGATCTAGTGTTACATCTGGATGTGTCATAGGCATGTCACATTAAAACGTCCTGAACTGGGCTCCTTGTCCCCGTGCCCCCAAGGCGTTCCTTCTCACAGCCTTCATCTCTGGTGATGGGGATGGTGGCCGCCCTAAGCTAGAACCCCAGGAGATGTCGTCGCCTTCTTTTGTCCTTCCCCGCCCTACCCGGCAAGGGTCATAAATCAGCAAATCCTGGTAGTTGTGTCTGTCTGTGGAATGTCACATGCAAGTGGGCTGTATTTTGTCTAGGTTTAGTTTTAGTTTTGGGGCAATATTTTGTCATTTAATCGGACTTAAAGTTCAGGAATTTTTTTTCCCCCATTAAAGATGAAGTATTTAACCAGATGTGGGTAGTAATTTTCAACCCTTCTCTCCTAGACGCCATGCCACGAGGACAGTGATCTCCCCCCACCCCGTTTGCACAATGGAAGACTTGGGGAAGTCCTTCGGCTCTGAGGAGGAAGAAGCTATCTATTGGAAAGATCTGGCCATGACCTACAAGCAGAGGTCAGTTCTCCCAAGCTCACCGTGCTGTTGTCTTCCCGCAATGATGGCAGCTACCTTTACTTGTGGGCCTGTTCTCTGCCAAGCACTGTGAAGGGCTTAACATCCAGGATCTCAGTTAAATCTCAAAACTGCCCTGTGAGGAAACCAGTAACACCCCATCTTATGGAGGGGGAAACTGAGCTTCTGAGTAAACTTGCCCAAGGGCACAGCCAGCAAGTGGCAGAGCTGGAATTTGAGCTCTAAAGCCTGTTGTCCTAAGGACCCTGCTCTCTTCCCTCCCATCTTATTTTCTCACAGGGTGTTATCAGCTCCCAGATGCCATGTCTGGTGTGGGGAAAGAACTTGTCCTTATACCCAGCAGAATGGGTTGGTGCAGATTTTTAAACTCAAAATCAGTGTTTCAGTGCCCATATCTGGGAGTAGCGTGTACACGACACACGCATGTATGCATTCATGTATGTGCATGTGTGAGTACGTGCATGTGTGTGCATTCAGCATTGTTTCTTTTTATTTCTCGTGGACTCTTATCATCTCCACATGGAGGTCTCATGCCAGTCCCTCTAATCTGGTTATTCTTAGTTTGACTTAAAGATAATTCAGACTTGGTATTTTTTTTTAAAAAGTCCCTAGGCGGCTCGCTTGCTGGCACAGCGATTAAGTTTACATGCTCCACTTCGGCAGCCCAGGGTTCGCAGGTTCGGATCCCGGGTGCGGACATGGCAGCGGTTGGCATGCCATGCTGTGGTAGGTGTCCCACATATAAAGTAGAGGAAGATGGGCATGGATGTTCGCTCAGGGCCAATCTTCCTTAGCAAAAAAAAGAGGAGGATTGGTGGTGGATGTTGGTTCAGGGCTCATCTTCCTCAAAAAGATAAAAAAAAAAAAAAAGTCCCTTGAATTTAAAGGATTGAGAAACTGGAATTGGGTGTTGGGGATTGCGCCAGGACAGATTATGGTGAGGTGGTAAGTGAACATTTATGTTATGTCCAGTTTCTACTTGCAAAGAAATCTGCAGAGGATACACCATCCAAAGTATATTTACTGCATGTTGGGCTCAAAAAAATATATGTCAAATGAAGGAATGAAGAGTGAGTTGGTTGACAGTTGGCTTTGGAGTCAGGCACACCTGGGTTCAGCGCCAAGCTCTGTCTCTGACTTCTTGTGTGACCTTTGAGACAAGTCCCTCAGGTGTCCAAACCTCATCTTTCCATCTGCAAAATGAGGATAATGACAGTTGCTGCCTCAGACGGTAGTTGGGTAAAGAGCTGGTCCACGGACGACACCCAGCAGCGCGGACGTGCTCGGTCGGTTGTCAGCTGACGTCTGGGAATTCTGCCGTAGGGCGGAGAACACGCAGGAGGAGCTGCGAGAATTCCAGGAGGGAAGCCGCGAGTACGAAGCCGAATTGGAGACGCAGCTGCAACAGATTGAGACCAGGAACAGGGACCTCCTGTCGGAAAACAACCGCCTCCGCATGGAACTGGAAACCATCAAGGTGAGGAGGTGGGGAGGAGATGCACACAGGTGTGGACGGGCTTCCAGCCGGGTGTGTGCAGCTGGAAGAGGGAGCCATGCAGGGCGAGGGACCACGGCCCTGGGCTCGCTCCCACCTGCAGGCCTGCTGGGTGGGTGTGGCGTTGAACTCTTTATGCCCCCGATGGGAGGAATTCGTGAGAAGCGAGTCACACGTGTGTTCCCACGGCCCTTCTTGGCTGTCTGTAACAATCCTACAAGGCACATGAAAGGTAGACAGTTTTATAGAGTCTGGAGTGTTGCTGGAATTGCCGATCATTGTGTCATGAGGTCCAAGGTTATGCTGTCCGGTATGGGAGCCCCTAGCCACAGGTGGCTGTTGACATTTAGGTTAATTAAAACAAAATAAAATTCACTTCCTCGGTCATACTGGCCACATTTCAAGTGCTCCACGGCCATATGCCATAGAATGTTTCCGTATTACAGAAAGTTCTGTTGGACAGTTTTGGTCTAGAGTAGCTTCCTCAACTTGGGCACTGTTGACGTCTGAGGCCAGATCCTTCTCTCTCGTGGGGGCTGAGTTTTGCCTTGTAGGGTGTTTAACAGCATCTCTGGTCTCCACCCGCTGCTCCATGCCAATAGCACCCCCTCCTCCAGTTATGACGACCAGGAATGTCTGCAGACATTGCCAGGTGTCTGGAGAACCACCACCCTAAAGGGTGGAGACTGCCTTTAGGGTATGCTGTAGGGCTTAGCAGATGGCCCCTGAGTGTAACACTCTGCCCTCGGGACTGAGGCACTGCGCCGTCAACTGCCAGGCAGATCACTTGGCCAGCTTCGTAAAGAGCAGACAGGGCTGGACCCACCCCCGCCCTGAGATTCCCATTCTCTGTAAGCCTAGGTGGGGTCCCCGCATGCCTGCATGTCTCTTTATTTGATTATTTATTTTAATAAAGCTCCTCACGTAAATTTTGAACCACTAGAGGAGAGAGCCCAGGGCCGTGCGGTGTGTCCCCAGGGCTAGATGTGATGGACAGTGGAAGGAGATGTGTTCTTTGCCCTCTGGAAGCTTCGTGGGGAAGACAGACACCAGGAAGCACTTAGGGAAAAGATGCTCAGTTACATAGTCCTGACTGTGAGCTCCTTCCGGGAGAGAAGGCTGTGCATGGGTCGTAGACAGCTTCACGGAGGGGCTGGGAGGGACCTGAGCTGGTTTTGGAAGGTTGGGGGTGGGGGGGCGGTGTGTGTTTAGCCAGCAGCTTTGTGCACAGGGGTTGGTGAAGAGTTAATCTGGACCTGCCACAGACATGGATAAGAACGAGTGTCACGTGGACCTGGGGAATCCTGGCTTTACTGGCACATGGGAAAGCGTGGGACCAACAAATGCATTGGGGATTGGGGGATGGAGAGAGAGAGGCAGAGGAAAGACGCCAGAGACCTTGGAAGCTGAGCAGTGGAGTTCAGGTTTTTGTGTCATAGACCACAGGGCCCATACTGACCATCTACAGATCCGTCTGCCCACAGATGTTGTCCGTTAGCCTTTAGTGGTTTTTATTCAACGTTTTCTCATCAAAGTGTTCAAGCACACAGCAAGGTTGAAAGAATTTTCCAGTAAACACCTGTATATCCACCACCCAGGTTCTCACAGTAACCTTTTATTTTTTGGGGGAAAGATTCACCCTGAACTAATATCTGTTGCCAATCTTCCTCCTTTTTTTTTTCCTTCCCCAAAGCCCCAGTGCATAGTTGTCTATCCTAGTTGTAGATCATTCTAGTTCTTCTGCATTAGCCACCACCACAGCATGGCTGCCGACAGACAAGCGGTGTGGTTCTGTGCCCAGGAACTGAACCCCGGCCGCGGAGGCTGAGTGTGCTGAACTCTAACCACTAGGCTGTCAGGGCTGGCTGTAGCAGTCACCTTTGCCATACTTGCCTTTTGCCATCCATCAATCTGTCATATTTTTTGATGCATTTCAAAGTGGATTGCAGACAGCGATAGACTTCCTTATAAATACTTCCCCATGCTTTTATTAACAAGAATTCCACGTCTGTATACAGTTTATTCTTTTGATAGTAAAATTTCTATTTTTAGTGTTTTTGAAATACTTAATGTTCAAAGTTGTGAGGCTTCCTGTAAAAATCTAGATTTCTGACTTCCTTTGAGAATTGGGCGGATCTGGCCACATCAGGCTTGTACTCTGCCACGCTAGCAAAAAGCGGAGTCGTGGCTGCTTAGACGGAGCAAGAATTCTCCAGTTCACCGCAGTGCTCACTGCTGTCCAAACCCCCCAATCTCTGACACTGAGGGTTAAGTGTCACTTGCTTTATCCCTACACCTGGCCCACTTCACTCATTTTGTTAACAGCCTGACCCCTGCCATAGGCACTAAGGAATCGTTGTAGCTGTCACATTGAAGGGGACTTGGGATGGAGAGCTGTGTGGAAAGAACATCAGTGGTATGAATGATGGTTTGGAGAGGATAAGAGGCCCTCCCTGAATGCTGAATAAATATCCAGTAATTACTGAGTAATTCACCGCTTTAAGACTAGACCCCGGAACCCACGGAGGACCTTCGTTTCCACCACGTGACAGATTCGGGAGACGCAGAGCAGAGAGCAGGGGGAGAAATAGAAAGACTCCGGAATAAAGACGACCCGCCACCAGCACATATTTGCCAGTCACCTAAGAGAAACGTATTCAACTGAGTCAGACTTCTTGACAACTGGCTTATTCATCACAGCTGAATAAAAAAGGCCTGTAAGGGATCAAACAGAGCGTCTATTGATGCCTACATCAGCTGACAGCTTATTATAATTAGCCCCAAATGAAAGCGCAACATTTCAGCAACAGCTTTTCATGTCTGCAAGTTCAAAGGGCGCCATCTGAATCTGTATGCCAGTGGAGAGGGCCGAGTCCCGCGTCCTCGTGGAACCTGCTTTTGAATGTAGGTTAATGACCTAGGATCCTCCCGTTTGATGTGGGGGCGAGGTGATCAGGGCCACGCCTGGGAATTCACTGTGCACGGCGCCTGGTCTGCCCCGGCTTGCCTGCATGGGGATGCCTCCTCTGCTCACAGCCAGGAAACAGAGTGTCACAGGGGAGCGAGCGGCCGGGGGATGTGGAATGCCCTCCGTGTCCTCACCCTGTGAACAATCTGTGTGTTCTGTGGATGCTCTTCTTTCTCGGTGGCCCCCACCGTGCCTCTCTGACCTAGGCACCATTACATTACTCTCCCCAGGGCATCCAGACTGTTTCTAGCAACAGCTTTGTTTATTCGATTGAGGCAAGAAGAGGAGTTTTCCTGTTTGTTTTTTTTTAACATTCTATTTAGACGTTGGGCTTTTCCTGTGGGAAGTGAGTGTTTTGTATGTGTACATGAAGTTCGGTAAGGGTGTTTGGTGAAGGCCAGTAATTTGAAAGAGGAGCCAGAGCAGAAATGTGTGTGTGTGTGATCAGAACTACAAGACCTGGACGGGAAAAGCCGAGGGTGGTTTAGCATAGCTCTTTGCAGAGCAGGAGCCCAGGGGGCCCCGGCTGGATCTTGGCTCAGTCATTTGCCACCAGTTGACTCAGGGCTAACGAAGTAACTGAAGCCTCCATCCCCGCATCTCTGAAATGATGTTAAATGAGGCAACAGCGGTCCTGTCCTGAGCCCAGAGGCTGGCACAGAGTTATCGTGCCATAAATGTTAGCCGCTACAGCTGGGCATCAGCAGATCATTGAGAAGTCACCTGGGCTGTCCTTGCCTTGGAAACCACCAGCCAGGTCACACTAAGCTGCTGTTGGTAATTAATAAAAAGGTTTGTTTCTTCCTTCCTTCTTTCCTCCCCTCCTTCCCTGGATCACAAAGCCAGAACAGTTGTCAAACCAAGTCCGTGATGTCCTACTCTGATTGTGAGGCATAAGCCCCTGAAGTCGTCGGGATTCCTGCGGTTGTCTTTGTAATCCGGGGATGTCATGTGGCGTGGAGTCCTATTGCCCTTGTGGATGAGGCTTAGTGAGGTTTATGTGGCTTTTGACACCTTGAGCAAAATGATGGCTTTCAAGATTGTTGGGGACCTCTTGACACTGGGAGGCTGCAGAGACCAGGTTTGGGAGGGGACAGGGTACAAGATGCTCAGGAGGCTGGGAGGCAGGAAGCACTTGGCACATGACAGCTTTGAATGACAGCCCCCTGTTACTTGTTTCAGTCCATGTCTGTGGAGAGAAGGTTCCATTGACTGAGTTTAGGCTTGTCCCGGCTGGTGGGAGGCTGTGAGAGGAACCCTTGACCTCCTTAGCAAGTGTGATGGGAAGACTGGGCCCGTAAAGACCCTAGAATAAGGGAGAGATAAACCCCCGAAAGAAATCAGGGTGCTGGCGGGCTGTGCAGAGTGGGAGGAACAGATGCTCAGTGGCTCAAGATGACCCACATCCACCATAACAAGGGAGCATCCATTCCAGGATTAACCAGCAAGATTTTAAGGAGATGCCGGCAAGGGAGGTCAACATAGCTTATCAGAATCTGAAATCGTTCACTCCGTGTCGATTTTATCCTTCAGGAGAAGTTTGAAACGCAGCATTCCGAAGGCCACCGGCAGATCTCAGCCTTGGAGGATGACCTTGCCCAGACAAAAGCAATTAAAGATCAACTGCAGAAATACATCCGAGAGCTGGAGCAAGCAAACGATGACTTGGAAAGAGCAAAACGGTACGGGTAGGGGGAGGAAACAGGTGTGGGAGCCCTTGGTCTCTGCTTTTTGCCCCCGGCATCTGGGGACCTGGCACTGTGTTGAGTTTAGAGAATTCAGCAGTGAGCAGAACAAAGCCAGGGCCCTTAGGGATCTCACAGTCTCATAGGAAATGGATGATCACAGAAGTGCAACTTAATTACAGCAGGAAGAGCTGCAAGTCCAGGGGGCTGTGGGGGCCTGTGAAAGGATATGTTAATTTGGCCATTGCGAGAATGAGAATGTCGGGTGGGGCTTCCCAAAGGAAATGCCATTTAGGTTAAAACCCAGGGATGCATAGGCATTGTTGGGGTGGGGGGGGGGGGCAGGGGGGAAGAGTATGAGATGAGAACATTCCAGACAGAAGGACAAGCGTGTGCTAAACAAAGCTCTAAGGTAAGAAGGAAAGAAGCATGTTCAAAGCGTAGTATTTCTTAAGCCAATCTTCTGTTGCTTAGCAGAATACTCACAATAATAACTAACATTTATTGAATAATGACTCTGAGACAGGCACCTTTTTTTTCGCCAAGGAAAACACTTCAAAAAAAATTTAGATGTACATTACAGTGACATGCATGCATCTTAAGTGCACAGTTCGTCGGTTTGGACAAACGCGTGTGTTTGTGTAACCCCACTCCTGTGAAGATATGGGGCATTTGCATTGTCCCACAGTTCTTGCATTATTTTCTAGTGGTATCTTAGGGATCACGCTATACATGCTTAGCTTTTCAGCCAACTTAGTTGATATTGTTCCATTTCACGTAAAATGCAACAAGCTTGCAGTTTCCTTTACCACCCTCAGACTTTATGCTAGAGCTGGAATACTGTTAACATCCACAGGGGCTATGGATTCCAACAATGCTTTGTTATAATTTTTGCTTTAAAAAGCCCAGTGTGTTTTAAAGAAATTAAAAGGGTGAAAAGACAGCCTTTGATATTTACCCATATTTACTGTTTCTGGTTCCTTCCTTCCTGAAGAGCTGGGTTTCCCTCTGCTATCATTTCCCTTCAGCTCCAAGAACTTCCCTTAGGATTTCTTGTTGTGCATGTCTGCTGACGATGAATTCTTCTAGTTTGAGTTTATCTGAAAATGTCTGTCTTTTGCCTTCATTCTAGATATTTCCACTGGATATAGAATTCTGGGTTGACAGGTGTGTTTTTTTCTTTCAACACTTTTGTTCCACGGTGTTCTGGTCTCCTCACTTTGGGTCAGAAGTTAGTGGTCATTGGAATAGTCACTCCCCTGTATGTGATGTGTCGTTTTTCCCTGGCTGTTCTCAGATTTTTCTCTTTAAAATTTTTGATTTTAAGCAGTTTGATTATGACGGGCCTTGATTTTGTGTGTATTTATCCAGAAAGGGGTTTGCTGAGCTTCTTTAGTCTGTAAATTTGTCTTTTGCCAAATTTAACTTTGGTCATTTTTTCTTCAAAGATTTTTGCTGCCCCATTCTTTCTCACCTGTCCTTCTGGGACACCAGCTGCACACCTTAGTCCTGTGATTGTCAGACAGGTCCCTGAGGCTCTGTTGTTTCCCCCCCCCCCCAATATTTTTTTCTCTTGGTTCCTCAAATTGGATAATTTCTGTTGATCTAGTTTCAAGTTCACTGACTCCTTCTTCTCTTGTCTCCAATCTGCTGTTAAGCCAATTTCAATAATGTTTTATTTTAGATATTGTATTTTCAGTTCTAGAATTTTTTTTTTTTTTTTTTAATTCATTTCTGGGGGCCGGCCCCATGGTCTTGTGGTTAAGTTTGGCACGCTCCACTTCCACAGCCCAGGTTCACGAGTTCAGATCCCGGATGTGGACCTGCACTGCTCATCAGTCACGCTCTGGCGGCATCCCACATATAAAATAGAGGAAGACTGGCATAGATGTCAGCTCAGGGCAAATCATCTTCAGCAAGATAATAATAATTTCTATTCCTCTACTGAGCTTGCTTTCTTTACATCCCTAAGCATAGTTACAATAGCTACTTTCCAATCCTTTTCTGCTAATTCCAACATCTGGCTTATCCCAGGGTTGATTTCCAGTGATGGCCTTTTCTCTTGAGTTTGGCTCACCTTTCCCTTCCTCCTCACATGTCTAGTAAATTTGGATTCTATTCTGGACATTGTGAATGATGTGTTGCAGAAACTATGGATTCTGTTAGGTTGCTGAGTTTTCGTTCGTTCGTTTGATAACTAGGCTGAACTCCCACTCCAAGCTGTCTCCCCTTGATGGGCTATAGCTGAAATCTGTTTGCTTCTTTTAGCCTTAACTGGGCTGTTTCAAGTCTGCCCTGCACCTGCATGGTTCAGGGGTCAGCCAGAGAGGTGGCAAGAGTTTATATGCAGAATTTGAGGCCCCCCCACCCCCATGGTGGTGGATTTCTATCACTAGAGCTGTAGGCAAAAAGCTTGTAAAGATGCAAATTCACCCATTCCACCCGTTACCCTCTTCCAAGTGTTGGCTCCCTTCCAGTTTTTGCTGGTGCCTTCAGATCAGTGTTTTTCACTTTTTTTTTTTTTTACCCAGAGTTTGTAATCATAATATAGGAGGTTTGCTCTGATACAAGCTACCTTAACAGAAGTGGAACCTCATTTCTTGTGAATTTATAAGGGCTCTTAGTGTATATTTGCTACTAATCTTTTGTCCTGCGTTGAAAGTATATTTTATGGAACAGAGTTTTGTCTTTTGACTCTGTCTGGGGTATCATTTTCCATACAAACGTTTTTCATTTTTAGGTCATCAATCTTGTCTCCTTTTATGGTTTCTCGGTTTCCAGACTTCACTAGGGAAATCCCCTTGGTCCTTTGATTGCATGTATTCTCTTAAATTTTTTTTTTTGGCAAGATTTTTTTATTGTTTCGTTGTTTTACACTTATGCCTTTAATCTACTTGGAATTTATCTTGGTATCAAGTACAAGATATGGGTCCGATTTACTTTCATTAGGTGGATGGATAGCCAGTTTGTACCAGCACTATTTATTAAATTCCGTTTTTTTTCCCACTGAATTCGACTCAACTCTGCCATATGTTAACCTCACATATATCCGGGGGTTTAATTCTGGATTCTCTATTTTGGTCCAGTGTACAATTTGTGAATGACTATACCAGTACCACAAGGACTTGATTACTGTGGCTTTAGAGTAGGTTCTGATTTCTGGCAAGCCACTGGCATACCATCATTTCTACCCATGTATTAGTGATCAAAGCAAGTCACATGGCCAGGCCACGTCAAGGGATGGGTAAAGAACTTTCCATCCACAGTGAGGCCACAGCAAGGGTGCGGATGCAGAGAGGGTGAAGACTGGAGGCCAGTAACGCCATCTACCGCAAAGAGAGAGAACATTCACGTGGTTCAAAAGGAACATACAAAGGGAGTAGAGGTTTCTTATGCAAATTCAAGCAAATAAAAATAGAAATTCATATTATCCCCCCTTCTGTTTCTTTCCCCCGACCAAAGAGCATTCTATACACACTGTTATACCTCTTGCTTTTTCACATAACAATGGATCTTGGAGATCTTTCTGTATTAAGACACAGAGCATTCTTTGTTCTTTTTTTTTTTTTTTTTCAAATGCATAGTATTCTATTGTATGGTTGGTTTTGTATAACACATAATAATTTATCTAGTCCCCAGTGGATGGATATCGGCTGCCTTTCCATTCTTTTGTAAAGATGAGCGTCGCTTCCACAGGTGTAAGTTCCCAGAATTGAAATTGTTGAGTCTAAGGACATATGCGTATGTGATTTTGATAGTTATTGCCCAATTGTTCTCTATAGAATTGTACTAATTTACATTCCCAACCGCTATGCTTATAAGTCCCTTTTTCCAAATAGCTTCACTAAGACAGCAGTTTTCAAACTTTGGGTTCCTGCCAGTCTAATAGGTGAGAAATAGGTACATTTCTGAATTATGAGTGACCTTGAGTTCCTTTTCATATAGTTAAGAACTGTATTATTTCCTTTTCTATGAACTCTCTATCTTTGCCTAATTTTAAATCAGGGGGTTCTCTAAATCAATTTCTGGGAAACTTTTATATATTTGTGATATGAATTGAAAATATTTGGAACCTGCCATTTGTCTTCCAGCTTTGTCTGTTGTATGTGTTCCTGTCAAAAGTTATTTGATTCCTACGTAGTCACATTTATCAGTCAGTCGTAGTTAGAAGGGCCTGCTACACTGCAAGGTTTATAAAGCAATTAGCCTATGTTTTCTTCTAGCATTTTTATGTTTTCTTTTTCTTTGTTTCTTTTTTTTTTTTTTTTTTTTAACTAAAGACACATCAGATTCACATTTTGGCCAAATGCTGAATAACTGAATGCTAAAATCAGGTGGGGTAGAGGCCCAAATCACCACTATAGGATGAATGAAGTTCTGGAATACTGAAGTTTTATAAAACACTTTAAACTATTGCAATTTTCTAGTAAAATTGTAATTGTTATATTTGGAAAATTTGACAGTCTACTGCAAGAACAATAATTTCTCAGCACCATCAGCTGTTTGCTCGTTATGGTCCCTCCTGTACATCTGTAAGACTCACTTTTTTTTTTTTTGAGGAAGATTAGCCCTGAGCTACCTACTGCCAATCCTCCTCTTTTTGCTGAGGAAGACTGGCCCTGAGCTAACATCTGTGCCCATCTTCCTCTACTTTATATGTGGGACGCCCACCACAGCATGGCTTGCCAAGCGGTGCCATGTCGGCACCCAGGATCCGAACTGGTGAACCCCAGGCCACTGAAGCGGAACATGCAAACTTAACCGCTGCACCACTGGGCTGGCCCCCTATTCATGTTTTTATTAGGGTGGTGTTTTATCAGTTAACTTATGAAGAATAGATTTCTTTATGATATTGGGTCTTCCTGTTCATAAACCCCCATATGTCTGCATTTCAACAAGCCTTCTGTGCCCTGCTAGTCTCACATATTTGTGGATGCGTGAATTCCTAGGTATTGTATCTTTTTCGTTGTTTGACATGTCAGCCTTAGGGTCATTTTGACTGATTCCAGAATTGTACTCTTCGGTATTATCCCTTTGTTGCTTTTAATCAGGCACTTTGGGTCACTTGATCGTATTTCCCTCTAAAGACCCTTTGAGGGTAAGTATTAACATGACTCACTCTGAACATAGTAGGATGTGTTGAATAAGTGAATGAAAGATCTTCGCTTTGCTCTCGAAGGACCGGAGCCCAGAGAGGTTAAGTTGCCCGAGGACACTTAGCCCATCTTCTGCGGAAGAGCCAGGTGTGGACTCTTGGCTTCCACTCTACACACGCTCCTAACCACCGTGAGACACAATCGGCAGGATGTTCAGGGTTTTCTGGAGACAAACACGGGGTCGATAATAAAAATGGCTGGCATTTTATTTTGCGGGAACGTCTCCTGCGTGCTTCGTGTGTTCCTCTACTTGTCCCCCATTCCCACGTGGAGGGACCAGTACTACCCCCGCTTTATGTACGAGGAAACTGGCAGGCTGCCTCCTGTGCCTCGGGGTTAAACCGATTTCTTTATTGCAGCCCTCCTCAGTGCCTTTAGCGCAGCGTTCCAGGGAAATGTCTACAGTGTTCGCAAGAAGTGGTTGTTAGCAGGGCCGCTGGGCTGGGGCTGGGCATTTTGAACTTTTTAAAACTTTTTAAGGTAAGTGAGAGATTAAAGACGGTCTCTCCTATCTGTTTAAATGCATGTGATTGCCTCCTGTATGCATTTTAGTAGGATATTCCGAATACTGTTTGCATTACGAGTCTCCAGGGGCACATGGAGGGTGCCGCTCTTGGCCGTCCACTGGGTCCGGCACGTGGTCCCAATAAGACCTTGGCACTGCTGAGTGCCGTGTGGACGTGATCTCATTTAACCCTCGGGTCAGCCTCGGGCCCCTTGTTGTCTAAGACGATTCCTCTTCTGCAGGTAAAGAGCGGGGTCCCGGAAGATGCAGGGGTCGCTCAGGTCCGGGGGATCCGAGAAGGGCCGGTGCTGGACTCGCACCCCGTGATCTGACCCTGTGGGCGCCAGATGGATGCTGCTGTTTGCCCTCCCGGACGGCTTTGCTTCTCTCTTCCCCAGGGCCACGATCATGTCTCTGGAAGACTTCGAGCAACGCTTGAATCAAGCCATTGAAAGAAACGCCTTCCTGGAGAGCGAACTCGATGAGAAGGAGAATCTCCTGGAATCTGTTCAGCGACTGAAGGACGAAGCCAGAGGTCAGGAGGCCTTGGTTGTGTTCCGTGTGCCCTCACCGGCGTTGTCCCCTCTCCCCACTGAGAGTGTCTTGTCCCTCCGCATTGCCCAGTGTTACCTTTGCTGGGAATCCACGCCCTGCTGGGCACACAGGCCATTGGGTCAGAGGGCGTGGGCCCACCCGGGCAGGCTCTCACCTTGGTCCCCACCCCGTGCTAAGAATTATCAGATTCTCTAAAGAGCCCTTGTGGGCGTTTAAACCCACCACCGGCTTTATGCTCAGTAGGAGCACAGGAGTTTTGTGGGGAGGAGATTCCGATGGATGGAATTGCTTGCTAGCCCGTTATTTTTGTGACTCTGTGGCAACTGATAACTGTGGCTTAGAACTCTGAAACCGCAGGAGCATTTGCTCTTTGGAAGTTAGTTCCAGAGGTGGAGCTTTCCACCCATGACAAGACAAGACGTTAATGAATCATCCAAATCGGGTGCATAGAGATTTTTTTTTTTTTGGTGAGGAAGATTAGCCCTGAGCTAACATCTGCCGCCAGTCCTCCTCTTTTTGCTGAGGAAGACTGGCCCTGAGCGAATATCCGTGCCTATCTTCCTCTACTTTTTATGTGGGACGCCTGCCACAGCATGGCTTGCCATGGGGAACAGGTCCGCACCTGGGATCTGAACTGGCGATCCCTGGGCTGCCGAAGCGGAGCACGCGAACTTAACTGCTGCGCCACCAGGCTGGCCCTCGAGATTTTCTTTAAAGTCCCAATTAATTGTCTATAACATTAATCTAGTTTCTAACGTCTAGGCACTGGAAGGGGGATTAAAAAGAAAGAACCCTTAAGATTGAAGGTAGTTGTTCTTAAATGTCCATCAGAAATGAAGTAGTTAAATAAATTACATAGATTTATTTTGTGGAATGTTAAGCAACTGTTAAACACGGTATAGATATAACGTAGTTCTAGAAAGATTAAGACATACCCTTGAAGAGAGGAAGATAAGTCATAGACAGTAGATGTTGTTTTTATTTATGCTTAATAAAAATTATTCCTATTATATGCTTGATAGATATGCACATAAACTACATATGAACATGCAGAGAAGAGTTGAAAAGATCTCCCCGTGTTACAGTGATTAGGAGTGAGGAGGATGGGTTGGGAAAGCATATTTTCACTTAGTATTCTATATACCCGGCCACCGTGGAATATTTTCGAAACAATAAAAGCCTTAGTATATTACTGCCATAGTGTTTAAAAATTTTTAAACCTTTTTTGTTTTTACTCAAAGGAAAAATCACGTAGTTTTACAGGCTTGCCAGGCAAGGTCTGTCTTGAGGGTTTTACTTCGTTCAGGGTTTCCACCTGGAATTTTCCCCCGGGTACTTCTTTTCTTTTCCCTAATGTGCGTCTGCTGCTGCCCTTCCCCCGACCCCGTCACCCAAAGCAAGGACTTAATCCGAATCCTTTTCCTGGCCCAGATTTGCGGCAGGAATTGGCTGTGCAGCAAAAGCAGGAGAAACCCAGGACCCCCAAGCCCAGCTCGGTGGAAGCTGAAAGGACAGACACGGCGGTGCAGGCCACTGGCTCCGTGCCGTCAACTCCCATAGCTCATCGAGGACCCAGCTCTAGCTTCAACACACCTGGGATGTTCCGACGCGGTAAGCGGAACGGGAATGAGGAGGATCTTTGTTTCACAAAGCTTTCCTGGGTGGGAGAGAAACTGGACCAGGCTGTAGAGCAGGGAGCAAACTGGCGTGTTCCCAGGGGCAGACCACTGGGGTCCGTGAGAGGAGCCCCTTGGGTGTGAGGCAGTAGGGAGCAGTGGAGTCTGTGGTGAAATGGGAAATAGAAGCCTCACCTGGAGGGGGCTGCTGCCACTCTGCTCCTACCACAAGAAATGTCGGCCCAGCATCAGCAGACGTTTCCATCCTTCCCCAGAAGCCAGCAGTCCTCCTGTTGAATATGAAATCTCCCAAATTTAAAATTTCAGTAACCAAATAAGAAATTGAAAAAGCCGTTTGTGGGTCCAGCAATACATGTATCTAGAAGTGGAGGCAATTTGACCTGTGCCGTGCCGTAAAAAGCGACAAATTTGAGTTTTCACCCCAGCCCTTCTGCTGGCTGATGAACGGTGCGTCTCTGATCGGGCCACTTAATAGCAAATAATAATAATAGACAATTATTGCGTGCTCAGCATGTGCCGGTCACTCTGCTTAAAGAGCTCTGCGTCTGTATATGACCTCACTGAATTCTCACCACAGCCCCACGGTGCAGGTAATGTAAGTGCTCTCCCCATTCGACAGATGAGGAGACTGAGGCTCTGAGTTAAGGACCTTGCCTGAAGTCACACAGCTGGTGGATGGCAGCGTTGCTTCCAGCCCTGGCAGGCCGGCTCCAGGCTTTACATGACCATGTACTGCCTTCTCCCTTAGCTTGTCCCCTGGGATGAAGAGACTGGTGAGAGTTCCAGAACCCCAGTCTAGACGAGCAGCGTTTTCTACACGTTCATGTGCGCACGACTCAGCTGGGCCTCTTGTTTGGCGCACCTCAGATTTAGCAGGTCTGGGTGGGCCCTGGGAGCCTGCGCTTGTAACAGGCTCCCAAGTGATGCTGGGGCTCCTGGTCCCTGAGCCCGGCTGTGAAGAGAGGGGCTCTGTACAGTGGAACCCTTATTCATGTGGCTTGCCCAGATGCTGCGCATACTGACTAACTGTATGGAGTTCCTAGAATTTCAAGAGGGCTTGTTTTGGCTTTGTTTCCAGAGAGTAGCATGTCAACATAAATATTTAATATAGTCACTGTAAGGCTGCAAAAGGTTGGTCATTAAACAGACTCTGACTATGTTAGACAGTTTACTACTGAATGAACCAGGGCAGCATCTGGACTCGAAGGGGAGAGCTTGCTTCCGTCGCCCGCTCCCTGGGTTTCGCATCTAGAGATGTCAGAGCTCAGACTCATGGCGCCGGCTGGTGTGATGTGTGCTGTCCTCTGTCGCCCAGGTCTGGACGACTCCACCGGGGGGACCCCCCTCACGCCTGCAGCCCGGATATCGGCCCTCAACATCGTGGGAGACCTGCTGCGGAAAGTGGGGGTGAGACGGCGGTCAGGCAGGCTTCTGGCCTGTCTTCGGGGTGTTCGAGAGGGTGACCTGACCAGTTCCGTCCCCTTTAACAGAGGCTTGACGTGTTTTAGGTGGAGCTCTGGTTCTGTCACGTCCCTCAGAACCATTGAGCCTCTGAGGGCGTTGTTATTGACAGACACCCCAGGCTCTGAATCTAAGCCATCCTTTGGAACCCTTGGGATTTCTTTCTGCGTACCATTTCTCCTTGGAATTTGGGAAATTCAGATGATGCCTGATTTTTTTCTCAATTTGAAAAAAACTGAGAAGCATTTACAAATTGCCTTCTCTCTTTTTTTTATTTCTCAGAGAGTTAAAAAGAAAATCTTAAAAGGCTAGGGCAGAGAACTTGACTTTACAGGTTTTATGTTAATTATAGGCAAGGATTCTTTTGTGCTTAGGAAATACCCTAGGTATCCTTTGTCCGCGTTTGTTTTATTTTTAAAAGTGATGCCTGGAAGGCTACGTAACTTAAATCCTGCCATTCTGTCATCAGCCAGAATGTATGTATTTGGAGCTGCAACTTACTAGAAACTTGCAGCTCATTTCTTGTGTTTTCACTTTTGGCTTTAGTTGTCCGATTTTCTGTTATATTAAACAGGTCTCTGTTTTAATTCTTTGCACAGTTAGAGTATGGGGAAGCCTGGGTGGTCTCAGTGCCCTTGGGATTTTCACGGGGTCTGTTTACAGCAAGGCAAAGTCCTTGTTCAGATCCCCTGCCACTCTGCGTGTTTCACAGGGTAAATAAGAGTGAATGATTCCAAAAGCTGATTTCACGTTTCCTGTGGGCAGAGGTGGCTAACAGGCAAGGTTAGTGATTTTTCCAGGAAGCTTCTAAATATCTTACGCCAGCGGTTCTAAGACATGGATGTACATGGATTCCTTTGGGGCCCCACTTTGGAATTCCAACACATAACACGAGTTGAGGACCACCGTTTGAGTTTGTGGTCTGCGTCCATGCTCCGGGGAGAGAGAAGAGTTCTGGTCTTGAACTTGAGAGATGAAAGCCTGTCTCTCTCCAGGCGCTGGAGTCCAAGCTTGCATCCTGCCGGAACTTCGTCTACGAGCAGTCCCCCAACCGGACAAGTGGCCCCGCCGTAGGGCGGGGGAGCAAGAACAGAGACGGCGGTGACAGACGGCCCAGCAGCAGCAGTGTGCCTCTGGGTGATAAAGGGTCAGTACCTTCTCTCTACTCCAGGTGGGGGCCTCTAACCCCAGACCAATAGCCATTTTTTAAAAGATGCAGGATTCTGCCAGTGATCCTTATGTCCTGTCCCACGAGACAGTTAGCTGTGTCATCTGGTTTGGGCAAACGGCCAGGGAGAGGCTCGTTGTTACTTGGTTCTGCGGCCCCGACTCCTGGTCGTGCTATGAGCACGTCCTGTATAAGTCCCTTATTTGGACCTCGAGCTTCAAACATGGCTCTGCTTCCCCCAGAAGAGGATTTTTTAAAAATTTTAATCTTTTAGAACCTTTGGGAAACTGCCACTAAATTCCAGCCAGACTAGATTCCTGAAGCCAGTCACCCGGTTGGAAAACACAACTCTGGCCTCGAACAGCGTCATTTATTTTCTTTCCTGAAGAAAAGCAGGGCAACTTCCCGATTTGGGGATTTTCTAAGATGTGTCGCCATCTCCCGGGACCCCAGGCCACCACACGCTTGGTGGGTCCGTGGCAGACAGATGACGGGAGATGAAGAGTCGTTTTCCACGGCATGCACGTCACTTCCAGACCTTTAGAAGTGGATGTTTTTAGGGGGCCTTCTGTGGCTGGGCTTTTTTGTGTGGCCTTGGGGATGTGAGAGCTAGACAGCCAGTGTCCTTTTCTTCGTTTCACAGGAGAGAAAATTGAGACCCAGTGGGAAACTGCTCCTGACTCTTAAGAGTCACTCCTGTTACTCTCTGGGCCCCGATGCTAGCCAGTCTGTAATGTCTGCTTAACTTGGTTTGCTCTGTCTGAAGGTTGGGAAAACGCCTGGAATTTGGGAAGCCGCCTTCAAATATTTCCTCACCATCGCTGCCGCCAGCCCAGGGTGTAGTCAAGATGTTGCTTTAGGACATTTCACGGAAGCCGGAGTCCCTGGTTGTCTGTGTGGGAGTTGTTACCATTTCTTCCCTACCTTTCTTTAAACTAGGTTTTTGGGTTTTTTAGGTTAGTTTGAGGAATAGAAAGCAAGCAGTCACACTAGCCAGTGACTGAGGCCATCACCTGTGGCCCCTGGTGGCTGTCCCCCCGGGAAATGTCTCTGAATCTCCAGCCTCTTTTTGTGGTGTGTTGCAAACGGACGGGGGCAGACTAGACCCTCTGGAAGGGCTCTGAGATGTGGGTGCCGGGGCTGCCCTGTCCTTTTGAGCTCACCCGAGTCCTGATTGGTCTTGAGAGGTGTTTTTTTAAAATGTCTGGAGATGCCTTAAAAGTTGGATCTGAGCCCATCTCAGGCTCAGTGCAGCCCCCACTCGGCTGGGGCTGTCTTCCAGAGCAAAATCTCCGAATGCTCTACGGCCCAGCAAGGATGGGTGCCCTGACACCACGTCCAGGAGCGAGGGGTGGAACAGGCAGGGGCATTTTGAAACTGTGGTGTGTGGACCTCCAAGACTTTTTAATCTGCCCCTCCTCGAGCGTTTCGAGGTGTGCTTGAGTTTTAGTATAAATTGCGTGTGGACCAGGTCAGTGGAAAATCTGTGTCCTCTTTATATCAGTCCTGACCGCTCGTTTTCCTGAGCCTTTCTGCCTGGCCCGGAGGTGACCTCTGTGTCAGGACCCAGAGGGTCCTTGGGGTGGAGTGGCCTTGGTAATGCAGCCCCTAAGAACGGGACTTCATTCAGAGCCATAATGAAACGATCAGGGTGACCTTCAAATGAGATGAAACCAGCAGGAGTGTTCTTGGAAGCTTCCTCGTCACAGAAGAAAAGAAAACAGGACATCCAAGTAGACGGTGGACTCGCTTACCCCTGCTCGTGGTGAATTGTTGTCATGCTTCCGGATGCAAGTAAAAGGAACACATGAATTCAGGAGCACGCATGCGGCTTAACACCCTTCCTTTTGTTACTAAGTTATTTTTCCAAAAGAACAGCAAAAATATCCTTGTGTTGAAAATAGACCTTTCCAAGTGCTGCTGAAATTCAACAGCGAACTAAACTTCAGTGCCCACTAGTTACCCTAGAAACATTCTAACCTGTCTCGCTAAAAGATGTACTTTTATTTTTTTAAAAGCACAATAAAATCAAGGGAAACTCACATTCAACTAGTCTGTGATGGTGGTCAGCGAATGCTGCTTCGTATGCTTGTCCTTCTGGCTTTGCTCGTAGGGTGGTGAGAAACTCTTGTTTTTTAACGAAGTAACTAAATATGAAAAAAAACCTACTTTTTAAAAATTTCCATCCGAGTCAGCTTCGGAGAGCTGTGTTTGGGATGTTTGCGTGTTATTCAGGGTGTGTTAGCATATGGTCATTCAGCTGAGGCCTCTCGGTTTCCATATTTCCTCTCTCCTCGGATCTATGTGGTGCCACGGAGGCGATGGATGGAATTGGTTGTGTTGAATAGAATTTTTGCCACGGGATCTCTGTCTGGAACACTCCAGATGAGGAGGGAAGGGCCCTTGGCCTGGTTTTCTGTGGCCCTCGTGCTGTGAATGGTTTTTATGTTTTTAAAGGGTTGTTTAAAAAAAAAAAAAGTATGCAATAGAGACCATATGTAGACTAAAATATTTACTCTCTGACCTTTATAGAAAAAATTTGTCAACCCGTGCCGGGCAGAGTCTTGTGTTTTAACTTAGAAATTTAAGGAACTCTCGTATCCTTCACATTATAGACATTTTGGTTTTGCCCGAGAAAGATGTTCTTTCTGGTCACCTTCTGCCTCCCTGAGCCTGGGGCTGGCGCCTTCCCGTTGGGGAAGCCCCGCACCACAGACTCGCTTTGCATCTCTGCGCCGCCTCTTGTTTGCCAGCCGGGGGACCTTGGACAATTTATTTCACCTCTCTAGGCCTCAGATTCCCCATTGATGAAATAATAACCCTGCCTTCATAGGGTCGTTGGGAGGAATGGAAAAGAAAGCTTCCCGTTCTTGCACCCTGTGGCAAAAAACAGAAGAGCCGACCACGGTCTAGTGATTTATGTCTTTTTATTAGTGAGGGTGTCCTTAAGTACAATCGGGGTGCATTTAAAACAGTGTCGCATTCCTGCTCTTCCTGTCGGAGCAGTGTCCCCCTTTCTAATCCACGTGACTACGGAAGGCTCTTGGTCTCAGTGAACTGTGTGCATCTGACGTGTGTAACCAGGAGGGGAAGAGAATTCTCACGCGAGGGCCTGCTCCAGATGTTGGAAGGGTACGCAGGTTAGGGAATGGCTTGGGGGGGGGGAGGGGCAGTGGCACCCATTTTGGTGGCTTTCTCCCCATTTCATGTAAACTAAGTTGCCAGTGATTAGTTACCGTGGATATATTTTTCTAAAGACTCAAAACCTCTGCACAATTCAATGATGGAGGGAGCGGGTGTGCCTGTGTCTCCTGTCGGGTTTTTCCCATTTGGGTCATCATTCAAAACTTTAATCGATGGTGGTTTCTATGTTCATCGTGAGGGGTGTCTGTGATGTTTGGAATTTGAAAATGGATTTAGACCGTGCTAAGCAGAGTCCACTGGGTTTTGTTTCTGTTCTGAGCAAGTTGCTTATTCACTGGCTTTGGTTCCGTTGAAGTCTGCATCGCGCGCATCCACTTCCTCCTCTGAACCATCCGCGTTTTCAATAACTCGGCGTCCTCCAGTCCTTCGGGAGGGAACGAAAGAGGTCTCGTTTCCTCGCCTGTGGGTCGTAAGAAAACACATGTTTCTTTAGTACAGAAATCTCCCTCGAGGCTGGAAGAGATCGTTAGAAGGGGCAAAAAAACACACACAAACTCAAAACAAACGAGGCGCAAATATTCAGGGCGGAGTCAACAAATCCTGACCACTCTCAGGGTCTGGGGATGGGGGCAAAGTTGATTTTTTCAGAGCAGGACCCTCTGCTGTCAAAAATATCTGGCCTGCTCACTTGATGACCCCCAGGATTCTGATCTGCTGTGGTCTTTTACTTAGAAAAGAAGAAAAAAAGAGAAGTGAGGGCTGACACCCCTCAGGGGTTTATTCACACCCCGTGGGGCAGGTCTGGAGGAGAACATGTGTTCATTCTGCGCCTCCTGCCCTTCAGAAGGGTAGAAGGGGAAGGGTTTGGGTTTTAGCTTTTCAGGTGGAAAAAGGTGAACATGAGCATCAAGGGCAGCCTTGAGAGGGAAGGAGGTCACTGCGTGGACACCGCGTGGGTGCTCTCTGCTTAAAGGCAACACAGCGCCCCCTGCTTTTGTGCAGCAGAATTCTCGCACTGAGTTCCCGCAGGGCGGGCATCTCGTCTGGGTTTTGCTGACCACTGCAGTCACTGCATGGCATGTAAAGGTGTTCAATGAATATTTGTTAGGAAAATAAGTTAATGTTAATGCAAGGTGTATTTTAGCTCTGGCTAAAACACCCTTTCTCTCTGTCCCTAACCGCACCCATCTCCTCTTCTCCGTCCTGTGGGTGCCCTGAGTTACCACCAGGGCCTGCCCTGTCACCTGCAGGGAGCCTCTGCCGAGGAGGGCGGGCCAGGCAGGAGGAGGAAACGTCGGATGCACCTGCACTTAACCCCGCCCCCCGCCGTTTGGAAAAAGCGTTCGCCGTGTTTTCAGGGGTCACAACAAATAATGGTGTTGGGCTCCGGCCATCCGGCCCTGTTTGTCCTGATCAGAGGACACGTCCTAACTTATTTCAGGATGTCTAAGAAGAAAGCAGACTTTTCGTGACACAGCGACCCACTTTGCCACACAGAGACCAGACAGAGAAGCCACACGGGTGAGCCCACCCGAGTTACCGGTTCTTTAGTCAAAGGGACAACTCAAGACAGGTGAGACTGGAGGCACAAGCAAGGCCCAGGGATTCCTGATCGCTGGGAAGGGGAACTCCCAACAGGAGCCTTTTGGGGTCCGAGGGTGGGAGAAACCCCGGCTCGGAAAGCCCACCGGGTCCAGCGGGTGATCCTTGCCGAGGTGCAGCGATCAGGAATAAATACTTAAAGTTACAGCCACTCCCAACTAAAGACTCAGGTCAGCGTCCCTTGCGTCAGCAGGCAGCTTCTAGGCTTCTGCTCCCTTAGATCTAACTTGCCCTAACTCTCTCTAGAAGTGCCCTTTGGAAATCCCTTCCTTCTTTAGCACCGTGTTTTCCAAAAACCCGGGCTCAGAGAGAAGGGTGTGAGAGTCCAGGGCGGAGAGAGGGGCGGCAGCAACAGCCCACACATCTCGCTCCTTCCCCTTGTCGACCTCCAGGTTCTCAGCCCGGTGTTAGGTGTTAGAGCCGGGGGCTGGCGACCAGCGCTCACCTGTGCTTCCCGGCTGCGGGCGCTCTCTCTGCCTCTGGGAGGAGTCTGCATTTGCTTGCTAGAAGAGGTTAATGGATGAATGTGATCCCCTGGTCTAAGAGGTGACCCGTGCCCTGGGTCACCGTAAGCCCCCCGCTCGGGCACCAGTCTTGCAAACCTGTTCAAGTGCCTTTCTTGAGGGAGCTGGTTTCAAATCCTAAGCAAAGGCTGACACTGGCTGTATCTGTTACTGGAAGGAAGGGACCCTTCTAAAGATTATCTTAAAGGGTCTGATCCCGGAGAATTTGGATTCTGTTCGTGGAGAATGTATCGAAGGCACTACTGACACACCAGGAATCAGTGCTAGAGTATAGGACTCGGTTTCCCATTAACTCATGGGTCCCACACTCCAGCAACCCTATCCAGCTTGTTCTCGGATCCCAATAGCTGGCAGGAGACCCGCCGGAAAGCTGTGTGTCCTAGAGGCTTCTCTGCCCCCCATGACACTGACACTGAAGACCTCATCCAGCTTTAAGTATTTGGGTAGCGAGAGCAAAGCGGAGATTCTCCGAAAGAGAAGATGGACACGCCAGGGCTGGCTTGGCCTCTCAAGAAAGATGAAAGGCAAACCAGTCCCCAGTTGTCTAACTTGACGTAGGAAAAAGTTTTTAAAGCCCCGGAGAAGTTGAGCCCCCTTAACTGGCTTGCAAAGGGCCCCAGGGGCTTCCTCACGTCTTGGGCGTCCATTCCCCAGACCGTGAACACGTGCCCGTGATGCCTCTGGGAGAGGCTCTGCCAGGCCCGCGCTGGGCTCCGCGGTGGCCACCGTCTGCCCTCGTGCGCTGAACGTGCAGTGAGCAGGTGGGCCCTGCTGAAGCTTCCAGCAGCCCTGCCCCCTGTAAGACGCGGTGGTGAGAGCTCATTTCCTTCGCAGACAAGTTCGTGAAAGCCCAATGGTGGGGGGACAAGTAGCTGGAACGCGGTTACCGCGGACCTGTGCTCTGTTAATTCTGATTTGTGACCCAGACCAGCCAGATGGAAGCCATTCTCCAGGACTGTACCCAGATCGTGGAGCTGTCATACCCGCTCAGTGCGGTATTGTAACGAGACATGAGAGGCCAGCACAGCCACGTGTCCTGACAGTGTCAGAGAGGCCCTCTTACGCAGGTAGGAACAACCCAAGCGACACACACACAGCCTCTAAACGCTCGCCAGTACTCGGGGGACAAGGACACATTGGGTGCCATGTCATATGCCAAAGCGGAAGTAGGGAAGGAAAATGGGTCAAGAGATGAGGTCTTCTTGTGTTGATCGAGGTTTTGATGAAAGACAGTTTTGGACCAAGATACCAAGCCTTCCGATTTTGCAGGAATCTCACGGAAATTTGCAAAGGTCAAAAAAAAAAAAGGAGGGCACGGGAGGGCACAATGGGCAGAAAGGAAATGGAAACCGAGTGCGACACACATGAGGCACGAAGCTGAGGCATGATACCTGGTGAGTCATTGCGGAGTTTCCTGGGGGAGGGGGCCTCTGAAACAGAGAGAGAGAGAGTCCCTGGTGGTTACCGTTGGCAGCCCACTTCAGCGCGTTTTCAATCATAAAGACATTTGCTTCAATTCAGTCATTAAAGGCACTTTTAATTCAACCTTACAGCAAAGGCCCTGAAGACAAGACCTCTTGGGGACGCTGGCACGCCAAAGGACAAGCCCTTCTTTCTATTAAAAAGCAGATATCTGTCCTTCCGAGCTGCTTTTAAGAACGCAGCTGGCTTTCTCCCCATTCTGCATACCTGTTCAGGGACGTGATGGCGTTTGGGTAAGCTAGTTCAAAGATCCATGTGGGAACAGACCCTGAAAAGAGCCGGGCAAGGCACC